TCGTTTGGCAGGATTGGGAAGGGAGAGGGGTTTCCCCTACACCCCGAAACCGCTCTCTTGAAAAGGTAGTACTTCACTGTTCTTAAGAAAAATTAAAAAGAATATCCTATGGCTCTAACCTCAAAATGATAACATTTATCTCTCTTCGGCAAGATATGGGACGGGGAGAGGGGAGCGGGGGTGTCGTCTATCACAAATGTAAGGATTTCTAGGTGCTCAAAAACGAGGGCCGTGGCAGAAGCGAAGCTCAGCGGATCTCCCGACATAACCCTCTAACCTTACTCAACTGAAAGGATTTCTGGGTGTAGAGTACCTATGTAATAATCATTTCTTTATTGTTTGCAAACAAAGTTTATTATGAGAGTATAGACCACAGACGAAGAAAAATATTAAATACCATTGAATTATAATAATATGACAATAGTCTTGACATGGTTTTGCGTCGTTGTCGCACTTACACAAAATTATGTATGCTATCCAGTTTTCACAGTAATATTGCATTCTTTTTCCCATGTTTAACCCACATTTTTTCGAAAACAGTGCAGTACCTTTTTATGCGAGTGGTATTGTTAGAATCGGGGGCCAAACCTCTACCAAATACAACACCTCGCTTTCCCAAATTCTTCCCAAAGTATTCTAAATCCATCCAAAACCGCTTAGCGTTATATCGTAGAAATATACATTATACATTAGCTTTGCAAGCATATTAATTTTTCTTTTCAAAAGAAGCTTTCAGAAGAACATTTACTTATCATAAATTAAAAAGCGAGACTTTTTAACCCTTAAAAGATCGATAAACGTAATAGATGGAAGAAAGCCAAGGTCCGGAGTATAAACATCAACACAAAAAGTTGCTTTGCTACTTTTAATTGCTTCAGTTTTCGACGTGAATGGTTTTCTTAATTATGCTTTTGTTAAATTTGAATTACTTATAAATTAATATTTCCTACAAATACAGACTGAATGCCTTATGCGTCAATTATTTTACAATATCAGACATCCGCATACCTGACTCACGTTTTGTGCACACAGTCCATGCATATACAAGTAACCTTCATACAAAAGTCAATTGCAATATGCTAATGTGACTGTACACATTCAAGCGTAAAATCTAATATTTAATGAATAAAAATTATATTTAATTAAGTTTGGGAATTATAATCATGGCACCAGGAAGTCATCACTTCTAAATTAATTAATATTTGACTTTACGTGATAGAGCCACGTTGCAGCTACATCATAGTTGTAGCACGAACGGGTCGACCCGGCCGGGGAAGAACCACGTTCTCACAGAATACCAGAGTAAAATAGCAACGTAATGCTGCTGTGTTTCGTATGGTGAGTGTAGAGAAACGTCTTTGTCCTCAGAGGTGACAACGCATTTACATTTTGATTCTTAATTGAGGATAAATGTAGATGTCTATGGACCACAGCATTCACTTACCATCAGGTGGAGTGTGTGATTGTTTGTCATCCAATGCTATAAAAAAATAATCAGTACCGTAAAGTAGTAGTAAAATAACGTTTCGGCGAAAAGATAAGAGAAAAAATTATTTATTCATATTAACGTATGTAGTAAAGTAAGGCCTCTATCATTGTTAGGAAAAGTTGCCATAATCGCCAGCCAGCTTGGCAAGCGCTTATTGGAGATCGCTGTACCAGATACTCGCCAAATGCGTCACCAATGACGTTGCTACTGAACTCCGACTTGGTTATTTACATCCGTCATGTACGAGATGATTTAGTCATATGCAGCCGCCTCTTAACGAAAGGACCGAATCGAATAATCGAAAGGTCGAAAAATATTAAGTGATTCTTGCGCTACCGCACAATACCCCTCCTTTCATTAAAGTTACACACAATCGGGTTTCCTCATGATGTTTTCCTTTACCATCGAGAACGTAGTGAATTAGTAGTTAAAATTGCAATCAACAATTTTATTGATGCAGGCAAGGCACTGTGAGCCCTTGAGTTAACACGGCCTATTCCTTTATACATCTATAGTGTCTAACCGTTGGTTACTTTTGTATGACTAACATGGCCGCCTATTTATATAACAAGGGTACAACACACTGAATTCATTTATACTAACAAAATTTACATACAAAACATGACGGAGTTTGTCCTCATCTGCATTTAAATAAAGTTCAACTTCACCAACTTCACTCAGCAAAAGATTAAAATTCCCTTGTTAATTTTGAATGAGAACAGAAATAAATGAGGAATAACAAAAAAAATATTTCAAAGACATGTGAAGATCGCCAGCACGCATTGGGGCAGCGCAGCGGACACTACCTTGCCCTAAAACCCTCTCAGAAAAAAAAGGGAAGGCCTGTGCCCAGCAGTGGGACGTATATAGGTTGTAACTATACTATATATAAATCAATTGCCGCATGTATGAAAGATCATTACTTGAGAACTGCTGGACCGATTTCGATAAATTATTTTGTGTGTTTGATCGCGTCCCTGGATGTTTTAGATTCACAATCAGAACCACTAGGGGGCGCTGTTACCGAGATCCAGAAATCACCCGTGCGAAGTCGGGACGGATCGCTAGCACTATGTTGAAATGCGAAAATGAAGCTATAGTTTACTGTATAATAAAAACATGAATTGTTATAGAAATTATCGCCGCGATAATTGATAGAATCAGGAGTTACTTTGTGGAAATCCATTATAGTAATGATATTGATTAACACCTTAGCGGTCAGCTGCCGTGCAGTCTACATCACCTGAGGATACCTGATGTAGAGGCGAAACACATGTCGTATTATCGTCGATAGTGTCTTTCCTGGAATAGTGGAAGTAGTGGTGCCGGGGGTAGTGGTGTTGGGAGTAGTGTAGAGCTGGGACAAGTGGCGACGGAATTAGTGCACGCAATTGAGGGAGGGCGGTAGGTGCTCTTCATTCCAGGTAAGACACATCATTGTATTTAGTTAGCGGAAGGTTGCAAATTGATCAATATCTTTATTATTATCACCGCGGTCAAATTTGGCCGCTTGGAAATTAAGAGGTTAATGTCAAAATATACCGAGAAACAATTTGTCATCTTTTCATTTATACATTGCGGCTAATAATAAGTAAGTCCACAGCTTAACATAGCTTGCTAGACGCTTTTATAAGAATAAATGAAATAGGTGTGTAAGCAATGTCGCAGATACTCGATCCCCAATTATTGTTATCTCTTATACAAGTCGCTTCCCGCCGTCTGTACGCTTAGATCTTTTATACTACGCGACGGATATTGTTCTGATTTAAGAGGAGGGTGTATATGTGTAATACATGCATATGTTGTAAAGTAAAGTAAAGTTACAGCCTATATACGTCCCACTGCTGGGCTTAGGCCTCCCCTCATTTCTGAGAGGGTTTAGGGCAAGGAAGTGTCCGCCGCGCTGCCCAAATGCGTGTTGACGAACTTCACATGTCTTCGAAATATTTTTTTTTCTTATTCCTCAGACATGCAGGTTTCCTCACGATGTTTTCCTTCAACGCTGAGCACGTGGTAAATCAGCACTTAAAATTGCAATTAACAATTTCATTGGTGCCGGCGGGGATCGAACAAGGGTTACTCGAGTTCTGTTATATTTACAGCGAGCGTTAACCACTGAGCTACCACGGCCATATGTAGACATCATATGTTGTGGAGATCTAAAAATCACCCGAGCGAAGCCAGGATCGCTAGTGCACTTCTATAACAAAGAAAATATGGAAAGGTGCTTGACACACTATCAAACTTCAACATTTAGAATACTAGAATAACCTAAATAAAATGCCTAACTTATGCGCGAATAAGAATAGCTCACACATACACTGTCGTTTGATTTCGACGTCGAAAGTTTTCACCATAGCATACAGAATAACTAAATCTTGAAAGCAGAAAAGGAAAGCTTTAACGCCGTGCAATTTTCTTTTTCGCAAGTAGCTTGCTTGATCTACTTTGCTAGCTGCATTTAGATATGATAGTGTAGTTCTGAATGATGTGTTTTAAAGATAAATAATGCGTAAATGCATTTTCTTGGAAATCTTACTGTAATTAAACTGTAGTCAATATTTAATAACAAAGAGTAATGTTATTTATGTATGTCACAGATGAATTACATATATTCTTAATATAAGTATCGATTTTCCAAAACAATCTCATATCGTTTGATAACAAAACTATAAAGATGCGTTGACTGATAAATGAAAAAATTTACATGTAAGTAGATACATGTTGAAATTCGTGATCAACAAATTAAGCTGATTATTTAGGTGTTACATACATACAATTTAATTTTGGTACATCTACAAGGTAACATGCCGTGGTAACGAGCCGTGGTAGCTCAGATGGTTGACGCTCGCTGTAAATATAATAGAACGCGAGTAACCCGGGTTCGATCCCCGCCGGCACCAATGAAATTGTTAATTGCAATTTTAAGTGCTGATTTACCACGTGCTCGGCGGTGAAGGAAAATATCGTGAGGAAACCTGCATGTCTGAGAATTAAAAAAAATAATATTTCTAAAACATGTGAAGTTCTCCAACACGCATTGGGACAGCGCGGCGGACACTTCCTTGCCCTAAAACCCTCTCAGAAATGAGGGAAGGCCTATGCATAGCAGTGGGACATATAAAGGCTGTAACTTTACTTTACTTTTACAAGGTAACGTACCTAGGATATTGTTAGGTACCCGCAGGGCCAATGCCTCTTTTAATTATTAAACAATGCCACGTCATTTTGTCAATTTAAATTCTTACTAATGCAGAAAAGTGAGCCCTGCATTTGTAAGAATTTAAATTCGAACAGCATTCAGCTCTACTACTCATAAATGTCGTTATAAGGTAAATATAAGCAAATTTAAAAAAAAAAACCTTAATCTTGTATAGTCACGATTTTATACATAAACATAAAAAGCGTCATCGATCCGGCGCATTTGGATAAGTGCCAAGAATGAATCTTTAGAAGAGATTACAACTGTATATGTGTTCTTTAGTGAAAGCGGTTCCGTGTAAATACAGACCAGTCTGGTGACGGTGGTGAGATCCCAGGCGGATCTCGTCTTGCCCCTGGACTGTGTGCCATCTTTTCTCCGTCCTAAAGACCCGTAGCCAGAAGGGACAGTTGTATCTTCACGTCTTCGGCGGCCGCCTCGTCTAAGCGACGAAAACCAATTTGATACGGATCCACGGCGCTCTTCTTCAGCGGCCCCAGGGCCAGCCTTGATAAACATTACTCTTAAAGGTTGCTAATGCACACTGTGCATCACAAACTCGCAAAAAGTAGGCACTACCTCACTATATTAGATAAGCTTCAAGTCACAAAACCTATAAGGCCACATTACAAACAAAACGGCAATATAATAAAGCAAATAAAAGTGGAAAACGCGTCGTAGTGTCGGCGCCTGAATCAAATTGTTGGCATATATCAAAGGTGAAGCTGAACGACGTGAAATTTGGTTTCAGTATGCACAAAAAGCGGGTTCGTGGACACACCTGGTCATAGTTGTCGTCGTAGGTGCGCGCCGCGCGGGCGCACCTCATCAGTACCGGCCACCACAGCGCACCGCATAGCAGGCGAACATGCAGACACATTGCGCGCCATACACTTCCCTCTAAGGAACGCAACCGACTGAAGACAGCCACGAGAGTCACGCTACTTTGGCACCGTGACAACTACACACAGTTGCGTATTTCTTATCTCTACACGTTGCCTCTACGACTGCACTGACGATTAACGATGTGTGTAAAAATGTTGTTATATACAACTTTAGCTTAATTTGCTAACCCTGGAACCATCTGCACTGTTTTAAAAAAGTAAGGAAAAGTATATTATGATTTTTTAACGTAATTAAAGTTCTGTTCGTATATTTCTTTATAAGAATATTCAGAAGCACAACTTCTTTAAGAGAAACTCACTATAGCTTTTTCTTATACACAACTTATGTCAGTTGTTTTTTTTTTTTATATATAAAATGACTGTTGCAAAAGTAGGTATGCCTGAAACTGTTCTTATCAAAATTACAGATCATTCTACGGAAGCGGCAATGGAAGCACGATAAAGCCATGAACAGCCAACACTGTACGGATGTAGGAAAACTACCGGAGATGGTTTTGATTTCTAATAACTTTTGACCATAAAATTTATACTTTTATGAAAACTTATGTAGAAAAATATATTTCTTTTTTAACAGACTTAAAAAAAATGGAGGCGATTTCACTTCGAATGCTTAATTGGTTTGCATATAGGTACATATTTTATTTGCAAATGTTTATATGCGTTTTTTTTTAAACGAAATATCAACATATCGTTATTAGATCCCTATAGTCCCATTCTAGTGTTTCTACACGGTCATAGGCATTTCTCAAGAACAAATGATGATATCATATCAATTGCAAACAAATTTTACTCGATGCGCAATTGCTTAATTTGATTAAAAACCCAATATTGTTTCATCACCAATCGGTTCTATCAATTTAGTTATAACTTAAAACAAAAATGTTATAACAAATAGTAAGGTCCGTAATACGATATCTTATATTAGTCGACTGAATTTACATATTAAAAATAATCGATAATAGTCTTATAAATTTAAACTAGATCCGATGACATTTTGAAGTTGGTGTAAATTTTTGTATCATTCAATTATTAAAAAAAATACCTTTAATAGATAAGACGAATGTCTTCTATATAATTTCTGATTAATACAAGTCATCAATTGAAAAATGCAATAAAAGCAAAATTATTTTCAAACAGATAGTAATCGTGCAAAACGTTTCCACACATAAATACGTACTATAGAACCATAGAGGTGATCATACATGTAAAACGTCACACATCAATCACTTGTGTTATCATACCTAAAATGAATCACGACATAACAAATAACTCACTAATTGATGGTTGGCACTTACAAGGTATTTACAATTTAGTTTAAGATTAGTTAGAAAAAACAATAATCATTCACGTAATATTTTGTGAGTGAATAATTTGTTAACATGCGCATGCAATTTAACAATACCGGTATCTTAATTATTTAATACCATAATTATAAACAATAATTATGAAATGACTGTAATAGCAGCCTAAGTATAATAATATATACAAAGTAGAGAAAAGATAAGTTTTAGATGTTAGTTATTTGAAAGAAAATAAGGGACATTTGGAGAGCCACTGAAATGCATCGCATTTTGATAACAATGTAAACTAAACACATACCTAATAGTGCTTGACCTATTTTAACTAATTTGAAATATTATTAATTTTAGAAATGAAACCAAAATTCACATCAAGTTTCTTCACCTAAACTCAAGCCATTACAAATTTTATGCTCATACAAAATCTTTGATCATAGTCTAAGGAACATAAATTTCCACATACTACTTTTATATAGCCTTACTTTATTGCGAACAGTGTTACGAGTGTAATTTAAATTAGAATTTATACTAGAAAATAAACTTCACATATTTTAGCACTGATGCGGGATGCGACATTGATAACAAAACACGGGCTAGTGACGGAAGAGGGCGCGAGGCGGCGCGCCTTTACCGCGCTCTGACAGCAACTGACATTGTTCGATGCGAATTACCGCGTTATTCCCGTCACGCATATATGCCTCTCACTCTGTTGTAGTAAAGCGTTCACAAGCAATATCTTTGAATGAAACGGCTGGGTATACCTACATATTTCACCAATGGTAATGGGCCTTTTACACTAGGCGATATTTAAACTGTCTGACTCTAATTATGACTAGTATAATAACACTTAGCCAGTTTTGTTCTGAATGAATACAGAGCGACCAAACGTACTCGGCCGCACTAACTGTCTGAAGGCGCGTGGCAAACAATTTACATCCCACAGTGCACTGCTGTGTTTACGTTTACGATGACAAGTTTAAAAATATTGTGACTTCGCTAATCCAAACATACAAACAAATTAACAAACATGTTGTGATTGCAGACCTGGGTACCGATCTATCAGAAGCATAGGTAGAGAGCATAGCAGCTACAACAGCGTCGTCTGTCCTTATGACGATGGGGTCCGGTGCTTTTAAAGTATAAAGTTTTCAAAGTGTATTATTACGTAAATGGCGACGATATGCGGCGAACTGAAACATGTTTGCAAAACAAAATGCCACAGGGCATTGCAATTCCGCTAATGCGACAATATTTATAGGTAGCAGACTTTATATCGAACTGCGCATCCCCTCCTTTGAGGTAGTCTCATATAAGACTGATTTCCAGAAGCAGATACTCTTTGAACCGACCCATGTCTTTCTTTCCTTTTATTTAATTTTGTCACTGCATTGGTTGCGTGTGATTTTACAGAAAGTTGATTACCCATGCCTCCATAAATGGAGGCAATGGTAAATGGGCATGGGTAAATGGGAGGGCAAAAAATAATAAAATAATTTCGACCTAGCTTTCTTGTAAACTAGCTTCTGAAGTCGGAAGTTTTCACTCTTGGATAGACTATGTGTTGCCATTGACTTCAGAAGCTGTTAGGTCGAAATTTTTATATTCTTTTTAGATTTTTATTCATAACTTTTATTCAAAGTTGCTTTATATTTTTTTAATTTTTAATTGAAGATACATATAAATACAAAATATGCGTTGAATATAAAGTCTCCTCCTTTTTTTTATTCGGTTAAAAAATAAACATCAACCAGCATATTACACCTAGTGAATGAGTTAGATCACAATATACAGTGCAATGGTATAGACAGCTGTCTAATTAATCTATAATATAGTCCAAATACCATGCACTGAATATCGCCTGGTGTAAAAGGCCTTTAAGTTACAATAACCAGTACTTGAACACCTACAAGAACAACCATCTTCAAATAAATAAGTATAAAGACATATTGAATAAAACTATTATTTACGGATTTTATCGCGTTTAATTACTTTAATTTATTTTATATTATTATCCCGACGTTTCGGGTGCTTTACAGCACCCATGGTCACGGGGGGGACTGAGATGTTTGACGTCCCAATGTCATAGTTAGTCCGGCTACCTTCAGTTTTTTTTAATATTAATTTTTGGTCCGATTTACGCAAAACGAGCTTATAGTGTCATGAAGTCTTGCAGTGGTATGCTTGGGTTTGGGTTTAATATTGTTAATTATAGGATCCCAAGCAGATGGTAGCACCCAACCATCTTCTCTATTGAAATTTGGATGTTTTTTAATTTCAATAGCCTCGCGTATCATCCTTGGTAGGAATCGGTATTCTTTTGCGAGAATTTGTGGTTTATCAAATCTAATGTAATGGCGGGGACGATCTTGAACATGTTCGCAGACTGCAGACTTCCCGGAGCGTCGGTACTTCACATCAGCTATGTGTTCCTTCATGCGGGTTTTTATAGATCTCTTTGTTTGACCTATGTAAGAGAGACCATATTCACAATGTCCGACAATGACGAAATGTCCGAATGCCAGCTGGCACAATACTTAGCAAAAATACTATCACCACTGAGAGGACATACCAGAGCACACACAAAGGATTCGTACCATTTTGTGAGTGAGATAAAAGACCTACATCTCGCTAACAATGAAAATATGGTCAGTTTTGATGTTCAGTCACTATTTACATGCCTACCTATTGTGGACAGCATCTCAATTGTAACTAGGAAGCTAGAAGAAAATAACATGCCTCAAGAATATGCAATACTACTTGAACATTGCCTCACATCTGGCTATCTATTGTGGAAGGAGGAGTTCTACAAGCAAGTAGATGGTGTGGCGATGGGCTCACCTGTGTCTCCCATAGTCGCCGACATATTCATGGAGGACTTTGAGGAGAAAGCCCTTCTTACTGCTCCTGTAAATCCAAGGTTCTACAAGCGGTACGTAGACGACACTTTCACAATTTTACCATCTGACAAAGTAACTGCATTTTTAGACCACCTTAACTCCATAAACTCTAAAATACAATTCACAATGGAGTTAGAGGCAAATAATTCTTTAGCCTTCCTAGATGTTTTAGTCATCCGAAATCCTGATAACACTATTGGTCACACTGTGTATAGGAAAAAGACCCATACCAACCGATATCTAAATGGTGAATCTCACCATCATCCTTCACAGTTAGCTACCGTGGGTAAATCTTTGTTTCAGAGAGCACGAGGGATCTGTGACAGAAAACATCTGGCCGCGGAGCTTCAGCACGTCAAGCAAGTATTGCAAGACAACAAGCTTCGGGTCCCGCGCCTACGTCACAGTGAACGAGTGAAGCCGGCCACAGTCGAGCGCGCTCCTGCTCTACTACCATATGTCAGAGGAGTCACGGACAAGATTGGCTACATCTTGAAGCGAGCGTCCATTAAGACATACTACAAGCCGCTGAAGAAGATTAGTCAATTTTTACCATCCATCAAATGTAATATTCCTCTACAAGATGCAGGTGTGTACAAACTAGATTGTGAATGTGGTCTCTCTTACATAGGTCAAACAAAGAGATCTATAAAAACCCGCATGAAGGAACACATAGCTGATGTGAAGTACCGACACTCCGGGAAGTCTGCAGTCTGCGAACATGTTCAAGATCGTCCCCACCATTACATTAGATTTGATAAACCACAAATTCTCGCAAAAGAACACCGATTCCTACCAAGGATGATACGCGAGGCTATTGAAATTAAAAAACATCCAAATTTCAATAGAGAAGATGGTTGGGTGCTACCATCTGCTTGGGATCCTATAATTAACAAAATTAAACCTAAACCCAAGCACACCACTGCAAGACTTCATGACACTATAAGCTCGTTTTGCGTAAATCGGACCAAAAATTAATATTAAAAAAACTGAAGGTAGCCGGACTAACTATGACATTGGGACGTCAAACATCTTAGTCCCCCCCGTGACCATGGGTGCTGTAAAGCACCCGAAACGTCGGGATAATAATAAAAATAAATTAAAGTAATTAAACACGATAAAATCCGTAAATAATAGTTTTATTCAATGTGTAGTGTTCGCGTAAATTTAAGAAATCATTATAAAGACATATTGTCAGACATTTTTATTTAGGACTTCTTTTCTGCCTATGAGTCTATTTGTGTAGGTGCCAATCTCTTACCAATATCTGCCACCAAATAGTAGCGCCTGTACAGCTGTCATCCTGGCTAAAGGGTAAAGAGAGCCAATACAAATATAGGCTGTGAGGCATTCTAAGGCCTAGTTTACATTTTGAGAAGTGACAAGTGCGAGTGGCAAGTGCAACTAACAAATGACAAGTGCTTAGTGCGTGTCAACAGGCAATGACAAGTGACAAATGGGAATAAAAAATACGCTCTAAGCACTTGTCATTTGTTAATTGCACTTGCCACTCACACTTGTCACTTCTCAAAATGTAAACCAGGCTTAAGTCTTCAGAGGTGACAATGAATTTGTCTAATAACTTTGTTATATAATGTTTATTTACAGTAAACTGCAAGTGTTCATGGACTGCAGCAGCCACTTACACTTAGGGTGGACTTATCAAAATTTAAGTGTCAAACGAACTTACAGTCCACTTGTTGGCAAATAGCTACTGGAACCTGTAGACTCCTGTAAACAACTTTTTTCTTTTTATAGAATAAGGGTGACAAATGAGCACACAGTCCACCTGATGCTAAGTGGTTATATGCGTTAGAGACACCTCGTAGCTATATTGTGGTCGTAATATGAATGGCTCAGCTTCACCAGGATAGTACCATGCTCTCACAGAATATCACCATATAATGGCAGCAATTAGAAAAATATCTGATGTCTTATATTTATTTATTAATAAATTTCGAAAAGGCAGTGTTTTATATGTGCCTTTTTTACATCATTTTTATATTTCTTAGTCACAAAATATTTTGCTTTTATTTCACATTAACCAAAATTTTGAATCATTTGAGTTTCCTATAACAGATGTTTGTTATTGATATCTTTATTATGAAATACTTATTGATTTCACTTGTCTGTGCTTATGGTTTCTACCAGTCAAAAGATTTTGAAAATGTAATAAGTATGCAAGAATAACACTTTAATGCAATCTGCTATTGTAAATTTTTAAAATAAAGTGTAATGTGAATTTATAATTACCTCCCAAATTAAATTTTTCGAGATAAATGTTCATTGTACTACTAAGAAATATTGTATCAGAAAGAGCTGCACTGATCGCATATCATGGATATATCTCATCCATACTACGATATGGTGTTCTACTCTGGGGGTATTCGGTGGATTCGGATAAAGCATTTAAAGCACAAAAACGAACCTTTGTTCAAAACTAAAAAGATCCTGCCTTTGCCTTCATTATACATATTTGAAATGTGCATGTTTGTTCATAAGCATCCACATTTATTTCAACGTAAGTGTGATGTGAGTGAAAGTAAGGGTAGATACAAGAATAGGTTATATGCACCAGCAAATCGTCTAAAAGTTACAAAAAGAAATGCTTCTGCAATGTCGATTAGAATTTATAACAAATTATCTGATAATTTAAAGCGTAAAAGTTTATTGTCATTTAAGAAATCTGTTTTGGCATTGTTGCTCCCTAAATGTTATTATTCTGTAGAAGAGTTCGTAAACGACAACGACCTACATACGAGTAATAATGAATGATAATTTTAGAATGTGATTAATTACATAATTACAAGATTCTAATGTTTAAGAGAATAATGTTTTTGATATTATTTTATATAAAATTTGACTTATGTATTTAATTAATTAATAAATTTGATATAAAAATAGAAAGAAATTAATGACAATTGGATATGTAACATTATATAATTAGTGACGTAAGAATAATAATTAATATATGACATTGACCTATAATAATAATCTTACTTGATATAATAATACTTACTTATATTTTTTCTGACACTGTGGCATAATAAATTAATTATCAAATCAAGTAAATAATACTAAATAATTTTATATTTTGTTAAATTTGATAAGTATTGTTGTTTAGGTTACTTGACCATTAATATTTGCACACCACTAAGATAGAATATGTAGAATGAATTATACTCAAACACCATTGTACAACCATATTCTTGCAAATAAAGATTATTATTATTATTATTGTACAATAATTCAATATGAGGAAACAGGCAGAAATCAAAATTCAATTCAATTCCATTCAATGCAATGAAAAAAATGCAAAGGAGTACCAGAAAGTTACTAAAGCCAATCAAAGAATGCTAATTCTTTTGCTTGTCTTGCCATCCAAAAACCTCTACACAAAGAAATGGATGCAGTGACTTCTTACTCATTGAGATTGGACAATAGAAGATTTAAGAAGTTCATTTGAACAAAGAATTATAGTTTGAAATATTTGGCCAAAAGTAAGAATTTAAGTTAGACATAGCAGCAAAGAAAAGAGTGCTCAACTGGTAAATCAATGCCTGGGGTTGTTATTTGAGCCAAAGAATTGACCATTTGGTATGAATCTAAAAAAATATGAAAAAGAGTAGCATGGACTGATGCTAGATCCTAATGTAATTGCTTCCAGGTTAAATTTGTTGATAATAAAATATATTATAAAAGATAATGGTCTAAAGAACAATCCTTAATTATTTGAAGGTTAATTACATTAGACAAGAGATGGGGCTGTTGGAAAATATGGTAATGCCATTCATGAGTCCCAATCTCAACCTGATAGATTTTTTGCGTAAGAGCCCAATATAAAAAGTCATCACAGAGGCCCTATTCACTTAAAACAAGTGGAAAATCTTACACAAAAGCTAGAATAATGTCACACAACAGACAATTGATAAATCGATTGCTCAAAAGCCAAGACTGGTAAAACATCATGAAGGAAAGAATCATTATTTGACGAAGTCAAAAACTGACATTTGAAAAAAAATCAGGCGAAAAAGTTAATCAAGATGAATTATTTCTTTTAAGGAGTGGTGGGTTAATGAATATGTGAATATATATTGGACACCCATAATGACTCAAAACTTAACGTAACAAGTAGATAGAATCTTCGTCTATCATCAAGCAAACCTATTTTAAATAAGTCATTTAACTTTACTTTACGTACCTGAATTTCCAAAAGCAATTCTGTTTTCCTGCGTCTTATATCTATTAAAGTTTTTTGTTGCTCAGGTGTCAACTCTAAAACAAACATTTTTTTGATAAAGCTAAAGCATTGAGGTCAAAATCAGTGCAATTCATAATTAAAAAATATAAAATATAATTACCGGCATGGGTAAAAGGATCTGCATGATTACTAGCAGCATTATTACCTCCGAGAGACAAATTTTCGAACTCACTTATCATTTCTTGTAATTAGTAAAAACAGTAAACAAAAGTTTACATCGTTAAAACTGACTGACGGCCATATTTATTTACTAGTTACTACTTACGTTTTCGTCGTTTCAATTTGCCTATAGGGCAGACAAAGACCTTACACCGCACAGCCTCGTCTGATGCAAAAAATAAGCTGACATTAGTATTAAAATTTAAAAAGTAGTAATAATTTTAATTTGATATACCTACAATTGTAATGATGATTCACAAAGAGTGGCGAAAAGTCTATGATACACGGTATGGTCACAGAATAAATAATAGTACAAAGTACAGAAGTTGCACTCCTTTGATGTTGACTGCTTGCCGACGTTTAGTAGCCTCTTCGATCAATAATATACTAGATTCCCGATAAGCGCTTCAAAAACGGCCAGAAAAATAAGACCACAAACACTTCTGTGGTTTTATTTCAAATTAGTATGGTCCGATCATAGCCAACGTTAAAACGTCGAAATGCCGCAGTGCGCGTTCAAAAACTGTGCAAATAACCATCGTAACACCAAGATTTTCGAAGAAATATCTTTTTTTCCGTTAAGTTTATATCATTAAGTGTTTTTCATAAAATAAAAACAGAATTAAATAGCAAAAAAATTCAATTAGAAAAAATTTTGATTGTTTGGCCAATGTTTGCTAAGACGCAACAACGATTGTAACAAACATCCACTGTTCTTGAACAAATATGCATGGAGTAGTATTATTATTTCATATATATATATTGTTTGTAGATTTCCTAGGGACCCATTTTGCCGTGCAGATTGAGTATCTACTGTTGCGAAAGAAAGATGAGGAGAACTATATATACAACCCATCTAAAAATTCGAGAATAAGTTCGATGTTGATAGATTGGACATAACTGGAAACACGCAAAGGCGTAGATTACTAAAAACAGCGCTTCCCAAATTGCAGGTAAATACCATAAAGTAGTACAACTATTAGAGTAAGATAATGCTTTGGGTAAAAAAGTAAGCTATTTATGACTTTTTTAGATTCACGGACCAATAAAAGTGCAATCAGCTTTATGTTCATTATGACGAAAGAGTTATCAAATTAGGTAATTAAAAAAATCTTTATCAGAAAAAAACTATACCTGTAGGTATTTTCATAAAATACTTTAAAATTGTTTTCAATAAACTTTAACTTTTGAAGATACCAGAGAAATACGTGACGTACCTCGGACTGATGCAGTTTGCTTGAAGTCTCCTGATGCATCATTATCAGATTTAACATCGATATGTGACACTCCTAGAAACGGATATTTGAAAAAGAAATTGACGACCTTTAATTGAATACCTACTACTTAGTCCTACTCCTTTTATAAATCGGTCAAAATGTTTGCCATCATACAAAAAGACCGTCGCCCTAAAATATTTATATTTTGCAACTACGTCTTTCAATACTTACTGTGTTTGGAGCATTGAAATATAATACCAAGAACTACGTCTACTACCAAATTAGAGTACGCACGAAAATGTCAACTTAATGTTTTAACCTTATTACTTATGAGTTTAAGTTTCATTTCAGAATTAATATTTTTGTACCTATGACTTTTTATTTTCAAGCGACATTCTAAACTTATTACTTTTAACCTTTTTCTGATAAAAGGACTTAAATAAATATATTTTGCAATGGTGAATGAACTTTATATTGGAGTGTTATTAAGGTTTATAATAAACTGATGTTGTTAATGTTATTAAACTTTTTCTAAGATAGATAGATGTTTATGTGTGTGCAAAGGTGGCCACTTGTGCGACTTATTTTTGTTCCTGATCCTTAATCTAGTACCTATGTAATTGATCGAAGAGTAGCCTACATAATTATTACTAATTATAAAAATCGCACACGCAAGCTAAATAAAACGTTATCGCTGCGAGCGAATGTCCGTATTACCTTGCATCTTTTCCTCTTCCTCCGTCACAGCGGATTTTCCGTAGATCTGTAGTTACTAAGGGATGTCAATAAAGAGTAAAAAATACATTGCGAAATGTTAATCTTTAAATTAACTTAGATCAAGTACCTATTCTGACTATGATCGACTGACCATATTTTCGCACCTATGTGTGTTCATCGATGCCCATCGAATGTAAATTGCAAGGCCATTAGTCGTGAACCACGACGCTTGGCTCTTAAAAAAAAGGTAGATAATGTAAACAACAAATAAACCTGAAATACGATTCCTAACAGAAATGCGATCGTATTCTACTTAGTTAAAAATCTTGTTAGTAAACAAAGTTTTAATTTCAGTGTTTTGTTTTATTATAACTTAAAATATTTTAATTACAAAAGACAAGTACTGGTATATAACTAGATACTTGGATAGTGCAAATAAATTTCAACTATATTTTGTAATAAAGTACGTAGGTATTACTTCTGTAGATAAATAATCACTTAATTCTTTTTTGCTATAAGTGCCTATCTAACAAAAAAATTCACCTTTTATAACTTCCTACTAAAATCCTTCGGTAGCTTAAAGAATTATATATATGAAACCTTTTTTTTTTTGTCATTTAGCATCTATCCACGCAACAATTATGATACGAACGACGTTTTGCCATTACGATTTATCAAATAGGTAATATACATAATGTATGTATTGTATTAAATTACGTTAATTTTTTAACTATTTTACCCTACAATTAAATATACTAAACAAAAACTATTTCAACAAGTATTTACAAAAAACTATTTACTAAAAAACTTTAACATACAATCGCCTACAACACGCCGGCCCCGACTGCGTACGTTACCCTGTGCCTGTGTCACACACAATCGCGAGCATGTTTGTAATTATGGAGTGTAAAAGTAAGGAGTACCAACTCCCATAGTAGAATAGTTGAGAAAGTCTTGTTACTCTCCACAACAGCGCTGGAGTAGCTACTGGGATGAAATGAACTTAGCAGTTTCGACGGTTTGAAGTGCGCTGCTAAACCGCTCAGTAGCTCTAAAATCTAAAATAATTTTATTTAGTAAATATAACCACGAAAAAGTCGTCTATCCCACTAATATTTTTCGGTCCGTTCTATAAAATTTACCCCGTAGCTATATAGTGGCGCCACCTTATTTAAAGGTTTTTATGGACACTTTATAATACACAGTCTGTACTCCTTACTTGTACACTCCATATTTGTAATGTTTCTTTTTGTCAATAATTTAAAAAATTACTTCACAGATAATATAGTCAACCAAATCTAAGAAATAAATTTTGACAGCTGTCAGACTTATTGCACCAAGTACAAGCATGCCATACAAAAATGGGAACGTACAATATTCGATTATTAAAAAAATCGATATCGATTATTTAGAGTCAAATTTAGAATTTAATTTAATTTTAGAATTATTTATAGTTTGGTTTGAATTATATCAGAATAAATTAAAAACGGACAATTTGAAATACAAGATTTATCAGTTTCTTTGTATTTGTTGTACTGTTGTATTTTGTTGCTTATTTCTAGAGGCACGATTATAAAAATTATAGATTGAAACTAGATTAAAAATAAATTTATTCAATCACTTTCAGTACAACTACTTGAGCTGTCGTTGTTTAGATTTATTATTATTTGATTTTCAATAATGCAATCGAAATAAATGTCTCTCAAGGTCATACATAATCTTTTATTTTTCTTTTTTTTCAACCATTTTTGCCCAATGACCGTTTTGACATGGGCACATGCTTCAACAAATATAGAAGAAACAGTCCAGAAAGTTAAAGCCGAGTCACAAAATAAGAAGGAAAACACAAAATCACAAAATTACGCACAGTAAGCTCCCGAAATGGCGGGAGATTGAAATTATGTAGTGGTTTTTTCAGCGCGGCCTTGTATATGAGTTTTTTTGCTTACACAAAGGAAAATGGCGAAATAATAGGTGATGGAATTATTAAGTGTCTACCTAAGTCACTATTGCAGATATTATTACGAGTTTAGGGTTCGTGACAATAAAAACTGCCGATTGAATTACCAAACTTGACACTTTAATTACGGAACACTAATTAAAACTTAAATCACACTAATAATTATTCACACTTAAAACTTTAGTTCACTTTATTTCACTCCGAAAGCTTCGCTCGTATCGCCAATTCAATACTACCCCGATCGCGGCTTGCAGTGGGTTTAAACACACCTTTTTCACCGAAACATCCAGAATGTTCCAGCAAATACCGGTCCCGATCTACTAAGTGCGGAAAGTTCGAGCGTGGACTTTTCTAGAAAGCTTAATTCTTCTATTCGTTACTAGATGGCGCTGTTGGGAGAGTTCCAGAAAGATCTTGACACTCCTATTTCTGATACTTGATACCAGATGGGGCTATTGCCATCAACTGTGGCGCGCAACAATATCAATAAAATAATTAACTATAGAAAAACTAATCATACACAATTCAAAACTTAATTGACTAGTTGTTGTAGTTGTTACGATTCGTCAGTTAAGACAAACGAAGATCTTATAACATACAGCCAAGTTTGACGTGTATTTTATTCAGAAAACTTTTCTATACATACTTAAGCGTTATTTAAGTATTCCCTCTATGCTAGTAACTACACTATACACTGACCTCTATATATACAAGTACGCTGTGTATATAGAGGTTAGTGACCCTATATATACAGGGTTACTGGTAACTCGACGTATTCCCGCCAAGGCGTGATAGTTGGGGTCATAACCTATCAAATGAACCATAAAATGCATTATGCAAATGTGGACCAATTTCGAGATATTTAGGTTTAATTATTTTTTTCAAAAATCCCAAAAGTCTGGTGTCAAAAATTTCTAAAAGAACCTACAGCTGTATTATTTTCATTTTATTATTTTTACTTAATGAAAACCTGGATACTTATTTATCAATACTACAGTGTGCAAAAAGTCTCATCATTTTCGAAGTAACGCTACTAAAAGTACAAATTTTCCAAACAGAAGATAAGTAATTAAAAATAAAAATGATTTTGTGAAAAATAATTGTATGTGACCAATTGTGCAAATCA